TACTGTAGTGAATAATGCTTATCAGGACGGACTGTGAAGGTTGTAAATGCAAAGGTGGAAGTTTTGTTAACAAGGAAGGGAGTGATTAATTCTCCAGGATAGGAGCGGAGGCCTCTGGGACCATCAATGGAGAAGAGCCGAGAGCAGGGCCCTACCCAGAGAAACAGAGATGCCTGAGATAGAGACAGAGATGATGACGTGGAGTGATGAAGTGACTGAGGACCTTGGACCCAGAGAGGGAAAGGGACTGTGGGCCGAAAACTGGGGGGAGGAGGGAGAAGTATAGGGGGCAGGTTTCTGGGATATACCTTTTGGGTGGCTGATGATGCATGGAGGGGAATGGAACCATGGCAGTGAGATGATATAAGATGGAATGAATGTAAAACTAAAGAAGTTCTCCCATGTAAACTATCACATAATTCACAATAAAACATTAAAAAAAAAAAAGAAAGAAAAAAGACCATGCTTCTCCATGCCCGTGCTCTCGATTACCTGGGACCCCTTTCATGTGGCATATCCACGCATCCCTCTATGGACCTTCTCTGTGATCACTGTGTCTCTAGGTGTGAGCGGATGTGTAACAATTTACTTTGGGGCATGGAGACATAGTTTTTGAATCTTAATTGATCATATCTAGAAAACAATGAAGACCACTGTATTCAGCATCTTCTGAAGTTTCTAGCTGACAAAAGTCCCAACTAAAATAACCCAGTGGGGAGGACTCTGAGGAGCACAGACCAGAGACTGCAACAGTCAATGTCGGCTGAAGACATCCACAAAGGTACACTCAGAGCTGTGTATTTGTTGGTGTTGTTAAGGACCATCAAGTCAGTTTTGGCCCATAGCAACACCTGTATAGGGTTTCCCAGGAATGGCTGGTGGGTTTGAACCACTGATCTTGAGATTCAAACTGACCTTGCAGTCCAGGATAGAATGTTAAAAAAGCTTGTTTGTCCCCAATTGCTAGAGTTAATGACCTCACCACTTGAGTTTACACCCCCTTGGTCCAATGCATCAGAGTATGTTCCAGACCTATCTGCAATCTGTCGATGTTCAAAGAGAAATGATACCACACTTACCAAAACACACTTCCCTGGCTCCAGGCTCCAAAGAGAACTCTCGGTGTTGATCTTGTGGGTGAGCTTCCCTTCCATGAGGACCTGCTCTCTGTCTCCCTCCTTCACTGCCACTCGGATGGAGTCACTGCTGAGGTCCACTGAGACCTGAGAGCACAAGAGATAATGAACGTCTCTAAGGGTGGTGCCCACATCACCTGACTATACACTCCAGAGAAGAAAAGCATCAAGTACAGCAACAGGGATCGTCAGGTATTCTCGACTAGGAAAATCAGGCCGACCTAATTTATACTTAAAGCAACCTGCACGTTATCATTTCCTTTAAGATAAATGCAAAGATCTCTTTCTCAACACACATATCTGGTGAAGTAAGGCACTGTGGAGAAATTCCTTTCCTCTTCTCATGTCAGGTATAGTTTTAGCCAGCAGACAAGACGTAGATGTGAGGCACCGTGGCCAATGAGATCCGGGCCTCAGGAGCCCACTGGGCTGCTGCAGCGCCACCTCACCCGCTGGCCATCTGGACCCTGTGGTACCCTGCCTGGAGTGAGCATTACAGACAGCTCACCTCAACACCACAGCACAAAAGACGAATGCAACTTCTGCCCTAGAGAAGCTTTTGCACACAATCCTGCAGTAATAGTCATGTACCGTACAGGGTTGTTATGAGTTGGAATCAACTAGAGGGCACTTAACAACAACGACAAATCAGGGATGCATGGACAGACATGGGGTTGAGTGGGTGTGGGAGACTGGAGCTACACCCACAAATTGTACATAGGCTTCACAGAGGGTGTTTCTACACAGGTATGTAACAACATGGCAAATCTGTTCATGGTTGTGGTACGGTTTGCAGAGGGCAACGATATGAAAACTTCTTAGGTATGACCACACGCTGAGCATGGGGGCTCAAGACCACAGTCTTGGGGGATACGACAGTCAATTAGCATAAAAGCCCACCAAAACAGTGTTTTATATCCAACTTTAGTGATTTAGCCTCTGGGGTCTTAAAAGTTCATTAGCAACAATCTAAACTGCAAATATTGGTTTCTCCCTGTCCAAAGCAAAGAAGAGTGAAGTAAATAGAAGACACATGAAGCCATTAGTCCAAAGGGCCAAAAGGAACCCTGAGACCAGAAGAACTTAGGTGGTACCCAGCTCCTCCTCCTACCTGCTCTGAAAGGGATCACAGTAGAGGGTCCTGGATAGACTGGAGAAAGAGTGTGGAGCAAAATTCAAAATTATTTTTAAAACAAACATTGAAAAACAAGTGACAGGCTTACTCATCTGACAGAGACAGTGGAAGCTCTGAGACTATGGCCCTAGTCACTCCTTCAGTCAGGTCTGGAAATGTACTAACCCTAACCACCGCCCCCTCAGGGGTCACTTTTCAATCCAACAACAGACAGGTCTACAATAAAAACAGCAACACCAGGGCAGTATGCATTCCTTTTGAGATCAAAAGGGCAGCATTTCTGTAAGAACCAAGGTTCAGAAGGCAGAAAGGGTTAGAAAAGAAGAAATGGAAACAGGAACACACAGGAGGAAGTCCGATAAGTGATGTTAACACTGAACAGACTGCAATCAATTAAATGAAACACAATGCGTATAACTTGCTGAAAGGAAAAGAGATGTGCTCTGTAAACCTTGACCCGATTCACAATAAAAGTAATGAAAAAAAATCCCAATCGCTATGTATTAATGAGGTGCTGTTGCTAAGTGATGTCAAGTAGGTTCCTGTACAGGGTTTCCGAGGAGCAGCTGGTGGGTTTGAACCACCAACCTTGTGGCTCACAGTCCAGTTCTGACCCTACAGCGCCACACCAGGAGTTGATTAATGAGGCAGGAATTGGTTCTATTTGTTGTTAATCAGGTAGACTTAGTTTGGAATGTTGCTGCTGTTGTTAAATGCCATTGAGTTAGTTGGACTCACTAGCGAATTTAGGGTTTTCAAGGAGCAGTTGGTGGGTTTGAACCACCAACCCTGTGGTTCGCAATCCATTGCCTATCCTATAGCGCCACACCAGGTTGGGACACAATATACCTATTCAGGCCACAGTACTGGGCCAACAAATGTTGAAAGTAGACAAGGGTCTTCCCCCAGAGCTAACAGAGAGCGAAAGATTAAACTTTCCCCAGAGCTGGTGCCCAGAACTTGGACTTCTAGCCTCCTAGCCTACAAAAGAAGAAATTTCAATTTGTTAAAGCCAAAATCAAGAAGTTGCTGCTATACAGCTGTGTGTCTCGGTGACTAACAAGAATAAAAAGATTAACTTTTGATATTGTCATTTGTTTTGTTTCTGTTTTTTAGCAAATGAAATTACAATTAAAAAAAAAAAAAAGAAAGAAAGAAAAAGGGGAGGCTAACTGGTCTGATAGAGACTGGTGGGCCTCTGAAACCCTGGCCCTTAAGACGCACTTCAAGCCTGGAAGTGAACCAACCCTGGAAAATTAATTCCCAGCCCCACAATAACCAGGTCTACGGTAAAGAATAAGGAGCTCTGCTAGCATAGTGGTAATGAATAGGGCTGCTAACCTCATAGTCAGCAGTTTGAAACTACCAGCTGCTCCGTGAGAGAAAGATGAGGCTTGCTGCTCCCGTAAAGATTTACCGCCTCGGAAACCCTGTAGAGGGTCCCTGAGCTGGAACCAACTCCACAGCACATAACAACAACAACACAGCAAACAATAGCACCATGGAGGAATCCACGTTGGTTCTGGTTCACTGCGACCCCGTGCACCACAGAATGAAACACTGCCTGGTCCTGCGCCCTCCTTGTTGCTGCCACTGTGTCAATCCATCTCATTAAGGGTCTTTCTTTTGTTTACTGACCCTCCACTTTACCAAGCACGATGTCCTTTTCTCCAGCCACTGATTCCTCCTGACAACACATCTGACAAGCTCACCCACAACATCAGTACAACAGGAATAGTCTTACCATCGTAAACGAGAGATTTGTTTGCTGTTCTGGCAGTCCATGGTGCTTTCAATGTTCTTCTCCCAACACCAAAATTCAAATGCTTCAATTCTTCCTTATTCACTGTCCAACTTTCACATGAATATGAGGCGACTGAAAATAGCATGGTTTGGGTCAGGCGCACCTTAGTCCTCCAAGTGGCATGCTTGCTCTTTAAACACTTTAAAGAGGACTTTTGCAACAGATCTGCCTACTGCAATATGCTGCCTGATTTCTTGACTCCTATTTCAAGTGTTGATTGTAGATCCAAGCAAAATGAGGACTTTGACAACTTTAATCTGTACTCCATTACAGTGATGCTATTTATTGATCCAGTGGTGAGGAATTTTAATTTTCTTTACACAGAAGTGCAATTCATACTGAAGGCTGTGTAGTCTTTGGTCTTCTTCACTTTCAGCAAGCAAGGTTGTGTTATCTGCATACTACAGGTTGTTAACGAGTCTCCTTCCACTCCTAATGCCTAATTCTTTTTCATATAATCCAACATCTCAAATTATTTGCTCAGCATATAGACTAAATAAATATGGCAAAAAGACACAATCCTGAAGCACACCTTTCCTGATTTTCAACCATCCAGTACAGTATATCTCCTTATTCTGTTCAAACAACTGCCTCTTATTCTATATTCAAGTTCCTTATTAGCAAAATTAAGTGTTCTGAAATACCCATTCTTTCCAGTGCTATCCAGAGCTTGTTATGATCCATACAACAAACAGTCTTTTGCATAGTCAATAAAGCACAAGTAGACATCCTTCTAGCCAAAATTCATCTAATGTTAGGAATACTGTCTAGCTACAAATCTTCTTCTCAATCTGGCTGAAATTTCTGACAGTTAGATCAATGTGCTGCTGCAAAGACTTTTGAATTATCTTCTGTAAAATTTTCCTTACATGTGATATAACGATCTTGTTCAGTGATTTCCACATTCCGTTAAGGTGACCTTTCTTTGGAATGAGCACACCTATAGATCTCTTTCGACTGCTTGGCCATGTAGCTGTCTTTCAAACTCCTTGGCATAGACGAGAGAGACCGCCAGTGTTTCATCAGTTTGTTGAAACACTTCAATTTGTATTTTGTCAATTCCTGGAGCCTTGTTTTTCACCAATGCTTTCAGTGCCGCTTGGACGTCTTCCTTTACCTACCCCATCAGTTGTTGATAATATACTACCCCAGTTCAGGATGAGGCAGTGTTTCATTCTGTTGTACGTAGGGTCGCTATGAGTTTATACCAACTCGATGGCACCTAACAACAACAACAACAAAGTGCCATGGGTTGCCATAAGAACCAACAGATCTGTGTTGGAAGAAGTGCAGCCAGAGTGCTCCTTGGGAGGCCAAGATAGCTAAATGTCGTCTCTCATATTTTGGACATATTGTCAGGAGGGACCAGTCGCTGGAGAAGGATATCATGTTTGGTAAGGTGGAGGGTCAGAGAAAAAGAAGAAGACCCCAGCGAGATGGATTGGTAAAGAAGCAGCATCAATGGGCTCAAGCGTGGCAACAATTGTGAAGTTGGGCCAAGACCAAGCAGTGTTTCATTCTGTTGTGCATAGGGTCACTATGAGTCGGTACCGACTCAATGGCACCTAACAACAGTAACAACAAAATGGTTGAGGAGTCCTGGTGTGGTGCTGTGGGTTAATGCGCTAGACTGCAAAGTTGGTTTGAACCACAAGGTCTGATGTTCAAGCTCCCCAGCCACCACTCCTCAAAACCCTTCAACAGGGTCGCTATGAGTCAGAACCGACTCGACGGCACAACAACATGGTTAAACAGCTACCCGTTCTTTTTGGTACCATGGTATTCCCCCTTCCATCCTCTTCTGATGCTTCTTGTATCATTTAATATTTTCCCCATAGAATCCCTCAATATTTCAAGTCAGGACTTGAGGTTTTTTGTTTTTTTTTTTTTGTTTTTTTTTTTTCATTTCTTTCAGTTTGAGAAATGGTGAATGTGCCTCCCTTTTGATTTTCTACCTCCAGGTCACTGCACATTTCATTATAATACTTGACTCTGTCTTCTTGAGCTGTCCTTTGAAATTTTCTGTTTCAGCTTTTACCTTCACCATTTCATCTAGTCACCGTTAGCTTCTCTACATTGAAAAGCAAATTTCAGTTTCTCTTCTGATATCCATTTTTATCTTTTCTTTCTTCCCTTTCTTTTTAATGA